TTCCTGCATCATTTCTCTAACTTCTTGTGTTTTCATAGAATCACAGAATGGTCTAAGTTGAAAAGGACCACAGTCATCATCTAGTTTCAACTCCCCTGCTGTGTGCAGGGTCACCAACCAGCAGACCAGGCTGCCCAGAGCCACATCCAGCCTGGCCTTGAATGCCTCCAGGGATGGGGCATCCACAGCCTCCTTGGGCAACCTGTTCCAGTGCCTCACCACCCTCTGTGTGAAAAACTTCCTCCTAATATCTAACCTAAACCTCCCCTGTCTCAGTTTAAAACCATTCCCCCTTGTCCTATCACTACCCACCCTCGTGAACAGCCATTCCCCTTCCTTTTTATATGCTCCCTTCAAGTACTGGAAGGCCACAATGAGGTCTCCCCAGAGCCTTCTCTTCTTCAAGCTAAACAAGCCCAGCTCCCTCAACCTTTCCTCATAGGAGAGGTGCTCCAGCCCTCAGATCATCTCAGTGCCCTCCTCTGGACCCGCTCCAAGAGCTCCACATCCTTCCTGCACTGGGGGCTCCAGGTCTGGTCGCAGTACTGCAGATGGGGCCTCACAAGAGCCAAGCAGAGGGGGACGATCACCTCCCTCTCCCTGCTGGCCACCCCTTTTTTAATGCAGCCCAGAACACAGTTGGCCTTCAGGGCTGCAAGCTCACACTGCTGGCTCATGTCCAGCTTCTCATCCACCAGGACCCCCTGGTCCTTCTCTGCAGGACTGCTCTCAAGCAGGTCTTCCCCCAGTTTGCCTAAGTTTTCAGCAAGTCAGTCTTGTTAGACTTTCAAAACACCTCTGACCAGCAGTAACTACCCATTCCTTGAATCCTTATGATGTCTCCCAGCCCACGCGGTGTAAAACCAAGCTGCTCTTCTCTACCTCCCAGAGACCGGAATAGCCTGGTTTCCCGCTGGCTTCACCTGCTGCCAGCCACTCTCAGCTTATTTTGTTGCCATCCAAAAAACACACCCTTCTTGAAGCATTGACGCATCTCCTGAGTGTGGACGCCCTTCCCGAAAATGTGGATCTATGTTCGTCTTCCCTTGCTCTGGCCAAGCTCCTGCAAGCCCCGTGGTATTGAGGCACCTTAATCTTTGATCTCTCTGACTCTCCTCAAGGCGAGGATCTGATCCATCTCTTACTGACAATGAGTTTCCATTGCAGTGGGACTACTCATCTGTTAGGATTCACCATTTCACTCATCCTAGGTGTCATAGACAAAGCTGAGACATGATACAAATACCAATCCATCAATACTATCAATAGAAAGAAATCTTGCTTTGTGTGCTGAGAAAGTTCTGCACTATCAGAATGATGTATGTCTTAGTTGCCAGAACATTTATGTAGTTATTTAGAGGTGGATGAAGGCTTTCCTTCTTAGATTAAGGGGGGAAAAAAGAGCAAAGTATTCTCCAGAACTTTCTGTGTTCATGGTTATTGAACCCCACCCAGCTCTCTTCATATATGAAATATTGCCAAAGCCACAATCTTTCATCATGTGGTTCCTTTTAAACAACTTCCTAGGTACTAAAGGTCATGGTGATTTTAAAAAAATAATGTGGTAGTATGAAAGAACTTTTTTTAAACGTGAAAAGACAAACAGAGGAATCCTACGCAAACTTGCCATAAATACAAGGGATTGTATTTGATGATGATGGGTGGAATAAACTATGTTCAAGTTGCATTCACCTGCTTTACTTTTTCTCAATTCTAATATAAAACTAGAATTATTCAGTTCACTGCAGTTCTGAGCCCACTCCAGTAGCCTTTGCCCCTAGATAGCGTAGACCTTTGACTGCTCAGGGAACAGTCACTTCCACAGGGACTACATCCTTTGCTTTATTCTATCCCTAAGTATAGCCAGTTCTGGTTCTACCACGTAGGTAGAAGGAAGAAAAATGTAGAACTCTTTCTTTTCTTATTGTTTCTTTTCTTTTTTTCCTTTTCTTTTTTTCCTTCCCTTCTCTCATCACATTATATGAGTGAAGGGTGGGTATTTCCCATATTTGACCTATGCCCAAAACTGAATAATTTCTGGTAGTCTGCAGAAATTTCTTTTTTTCTATATAAGTTTGCTTACTTCTGAGACACCATTTGGAATTAATTCAAGGCTCAAAATTTAGGGACTTTGAAGACAATATACATGCAAATCAGATGCTTCAGCCTTGGAGACTACAACATTGACATTGTACCAGGATGTGCAGATGGCTGTCTGAGGGTGATGAAGGGTGCTGGTCGGGCTGAATTCATCACTGCAGCCTGTTAGAACCCTGGTACAAGTTGTATTCATGGTGTGAGTGAGTGCAAGTGCATGTGAGCATGTGTGTGAGTGTGTGCGTATGCAGAGTTTGGTTAGAGATGCATGCACACTCCTGACCAATCTTTGGAGCCTTAATTATCCATTTAAACTTTTTAAGAGTTATCAAATATCAAGCACTATTTAAAATGTTCAGGCTATAGCAGACAATGTTATTGATTGGCAATTTTTCAATGACAGCATTCACAAGTCACAGTCGGGGACCAGGAATTTACTGTGCTCAGTGATGTGCACAGCGTAAAATATCAGATGATTAAAGAGCTCAATATCTAGTTTCTTCTTTAATTTTTCATCTACCTCAAAACATCTTGTATTTTCTGAGACACAGGAGTCTGCCTCACGGGAGGATAGTCTCACAAAAAAAAAAAAAAAGAAAAGAAAGAAACAGATTTTAAAAAATGGGTTATAGAAGACTTTGGGATTGCAAGGTTCTGTTCTAAGCCTGCAGTATTGCTTTCTAACATCCCCACTTTCTGAAGCCTGACCAAATATCTCCCTTCACCTGAGCCTGGCCCAAAGTAAGCCTGAGAAGGGAACAGGCACAGCTACCCTGGTCGGAGCACCTGGAGCACAGCATCCCTCCTCCAGACACCCCAAGTCTGAATTCTGGCTGCTGCCACATGCCCCCATCCCTCAAGTCTACCTCCTTTCCCACCTCACACCTCCTCTTTCCTCCTGCAACCTTCCTTGAAAACAAACCACCCCCCAAACCCACATTTTTTTCCAAGCAACCCTCCCACTTCTGTTTGCCTCATCTCTCCCTCATTATCTTGGGTCTTGCTTTTGTTTGTCTTGGCTATTTTGGGCTGGAGGCTCTTTGGGGAAAGGAATACAGTTAAAGCATCGGCTGCTCATCATGTGAAGTGTTTGATTCCTTCCAGCTGAGCAAAGCTGAATTGATAAATGAGGCATAGCTGGCTAAGAAGTGCCTACCTTGGTGTGGACACCTGCTTAGCTGAATCAGCTTTAAAAAGCATAATTCATCAAGAATGTACCTTTATGTCTAGGCAAAAAAAATAAAAAATCTTATTTTAAAAAGCACAGGTAACAGTTTAACACTGAAGTTTCAAAGGAAAACTAATACAGGCTATGCTGTACTGATGCTAATATATAGCATGTGAAATATAAAGAGGAGTTAATTACTGAATGCTTGCACTTGGATCCCAAAAGTGATGTGAAAATTCAGAGAAAAATGAAAGCCAAGTATTTTAAGGCAATATATCTCATTTGCACTCTCAGTAAGAGAGCAAGTATTGCACGAGGCAGCCACAGCATGACTTATACTCAGTGGCTCCGAGCATCTTCTGCAGTACTGTTATTCACAAAGGTCCACAAACATTCACTGTGTTATTTACAGTGAGTTATACATAATGAGTTGCAATATGGTAGTGTACGTGCATTCATTAAAAAAGTAAAAACATATCAAGTGTTGAGCAAGAAGCAACTGTGTCGTCCACTGGCCTTTTAATCTGATAAATTAATTCCAAAGATGTTTTTACCACGTTGCTTCTTGAGACTGTAAGCACACTACCAATTGGTAAATTCTTGCATTAGATAGATCTAACATAGAAAGGATCAAGATGGAAATGTTTGTAAGAGGTGTGTAGCATCCCTCTCCATTGTGCTGCAGCACCCTAATGGTGCTGGCAGCAGGACGAGGGTTCTATTTTTAATACCTACATCCCAAACTTCCACACCTGGCAGAATCCTGGAAAAATCTAAGCTCTGTTTT